AACTACTGATGGAAACTATGGGTTTCTGCATACACCATTGGTAATATGTGATGTTACTGTAAAACTAAGCAGGATAATAATTCTGTTGTATAGTTACTTTTGCTGCTGACATGAAAACATATCTATGCTCAATGTTCAATTCCTTATGTTTCCTTTTGATCCACAAATTGCATTTTCCAGCTGATTAATCATTGTTTGAGAAACTGAAAAACTATATGCCAGACATCATGAAGATCTGCTGTAGACATTTTTTAGAGGACATCTGGTAATTAGCAGTATATGTAAATATTTTTTTCCAATAATAATTTCAACAAAATAAAGAAGGGGAGGGTTTAGGAACCAAACCAAATCAGAAAAAAAGGAAGACGAAATACCTCATAATGTGGTACTAGCAAGTGTTAAATTTTGGGATAAATACTTGAACCTCCACTAAGGATTCAGAAAAAACACTAAAACCTCCCCTCAGTTTCATCCTAATCCTTAAACATCTCCTGTCAAAGCATTCAGCTGTAAAGCTTGACTGAATGGAGAGAAATATCAAGAATGCCCTTATGGATTTTTGGGTGTTTGAATTTAATACAAAAAAAATCCCTTGGTACAAAGAAAGACATTGAACATTACTATTAGCCTCTCAAAAGACTTCATCATCATCATCATCATCCAAGCCTTATCCCAACTATAAGGGGTTGACTGCATGAATCCTGTTTAACCAACCCGTTCTATTTAAAACCTTATCCGTTGTTAAATTATTAGTTTAAATCGTTTCTTACTACTTCTACCCATGTCCTCTTTGGTCTACCCCTAGCTCTTCTAGCCCCTTCCACTTGTAACAAATCACTTCTTATAACTGGAGCTGTCGGTGGTCTTCTATGCACGTGACCAAACAATCTTAGCCTATTTTATCTCCTTTTATCACTAACTGGAGCTACTCCTAGGTTTCTATGGATGGCTTCATAGAAACCTTACAACTGGAGCTGACCCAACACTCAGCTCCATACAACATAGCTAGCCTTACAACTATTTTATAGAATTTTCCTTTTAATCAAAGTGGTATCCTCCTATCACAAAAAAGTCCAGATGTGCCCCTCTATTTTTCCCAACCTGCTTTAACTCTGGGTGATGTCCTCCTCAATCTTTCCCTTGTTATGAATTATTGAACCAAGGTACCGGAAATCGCCACATTGAGTTATCTCTTGGTTTCTAATCCTATGTGTATCCTGATTTGCACTCCTATTATTACTAAATATACATGTTATATACTCTTTTTTTGTCCTACTTATTTCAAAACCTCATGTTTCTAGGGCATTTGTCCATAAGCTTCAATTTGCATTTAATCCTTCATTAGTTTCGTGAATTAAAATAATGATATCCGCAAAAAACATGCACCATGGAACTTTCTTCTTGAATTTTTTTAATCAATTCATATATGATTAGTGCAAATACACAAGGGCTAAGTGCTAAATTTTGGTGAAGATCCATTGTAATTGTACAATTTGAAGTCTCTCCCATTGGTGTTCTAACATTAGCTGTTGCCCCTCATGCATATCCTTTATTAGGTCTATATACCTATTTTAAACTCATTTCTTTTTCTCCCTCTTTAGTGCTTAATTTATGGTAAAGATCATCATAAGCCCTACGTTTAGCTCATTTACGTTATTTTTTTTCAATTTCCTCTTTTATGGCTTTATATGTATCCCAATTTTCTACATTTTTAGCTTTTTGCCATTCTTTGTAAGATTCTTTTTTTTAATATGATTATATTTTAAGCCTCTTCATTCCACCATCAAGTTTCTTTAGTACTTTTACATTTCCCTTTAAATTCTCCTAAGACCTCCTTTGCTAATTTCTTTATGTTGTTTGCCATTTCAAGCCAAATATCATTAATCTTTCCATCTAAATTCTAATTTCCTTTTATTACTAACTTGTTTCTAAATTGAGCTAGCTTTTTTCCTTTTAGGTTTTCCCACCTAATTCTTGAATATCTATTTTGTTCCCTATTTCTCTTCCAATCCTAATGCACACATCTACCACCACTAATCTATGTTTTGTTATTGAGCTTTCTCCTATAGTAACTTTGCAATCTTTATATATCACTCATTCTATTCTCCTAGTAAGGCAAAAATCTATTTGACTTATGTTTGATCCATTTTTTCAATGTTATTAAGTGTTCATCCTTCTTTCGGAAAAAGGTGTTAAAATTGCCATATCATAAGCTATTGCAAAATCTAATATTGTACCTCTTGATTCATTCCTCTCCCCAAATCCAAATCCTCCACATACCATATCATATTGAGAGGAATCGATCAACACCCTTGAATATTTATTCTAGAAAGAAGGCCTTACAACAGGTCTTGATATGGCATAGTGATGGTACTTAGAATCTGGATCGAATTGGACACCAAGGGTATTTTTGTTATTTTACAATTTTTTTGTAGGTTCCAATAATAGGGTTTGATTGTCTATTTATAGTTTGTTTATGTTTAAAATTTTGGAGTCATTGCATAAGTAGGATTAGAGTTATTGAGTCTTCTTTGAATTGAAATAGGATATAACAGCTTGGCTTGAGTCCTACTAGGATTATTGAGTTTAACAGTTTGACTCCTAGGACTATTATGAGTCTAACAGTTTGACTCCTAGGTTTATTATGAGTTTATAGTCTATAAACATGTATGGATGTTTTACACTTAGAGTAGTGAAGTGAGTGATTCCCATGCCCTAGAGTGATTCTAGGTAGCCTGTGAGTGATTCCAGGTATTTTCGCTCTTCTTTCTCTCTTATTCCTTCAAGAAGCCATTACAGCCATAAATAGCCCTAAAATTCTGATCAAAGAAGACTATTCAACATTCTCTAAGGACTATAACTGAGCGGGTCCTACATCACACATCTTAACACGTCTTTTCCTTACATGTACATTTAAGTCTCTTTCCATAAAAATCTTCTCTTCATTTGGAATTTCTTGGATTAATCCTTTTAAGTTATCCCAAAATTGTCTTTTAACTAAACTCACTTGAGGTGCATAAACACTAACTATGTTAACGATTTCCTCACCTAAAACAAGTCTAATTATAATTATTCTATCCCCAATTCTTTTAACTTTACAATTTCATTTTTTAAATCTTTATCTTCTATTGTCGTTGCACCATTTCTATTATTCACCTCTCCTGTATACCATAATTTCTAGCCATCAATTTTTTTAGCTTTTTTACCTTTCCGTTTAGTTTCTTGTAGACATGCTCTCCAAAGGCTTCACCAAACCCTTAAATCTTTACAATAATAAAAGTCTTCGTGGTTATAGATGATAATCCTTGGATCCACATCCACCAGAAAAACAAATGGTGGTTTTGGCATTGTGGTCAGGGCATTGTTGTTTTCCTTTGACTTGAGAAGGAAGATCATTGGGTGAAAAGAACATAAATTTGGTGAAAACTTATGTTAAAGATAAATTATATTGTCCATTTTGGTCCATTTAATTTAAGGTCAAGTTCAATAGATTACTAATGGGTTTTAAACAACAATTTTTTGTGGCAAGTGGTCACATGCTGATGGAAACTAATAGCATGTTAACAGACGAGTGGTTTTTGTCTTGCTATGCAACCAATAGGGGAGGTTAGAGTGTAGAGAAGATAAAGGGTAGTTATGTAATTTTATTGTATCTTTATTCTTCTTTATTGTACTTTTAATAGGTGTGTACATTAGTGTACAGCTCTTCTATTTCCTTTGTAAGGACATTCACTTCGGTTTATAATAAATACTCTCTTTTTGGGTTGGTTCGACCTGATTGATTAACCCTTACAGATCTGAACTATTGTTTCTCTTCTTGTTCTCTCACCTTCCCACGAATTGACATAGAGTCCTTTTAAAAGGTGAAGGGAGGTATTAGTATTTCTTAGAAACCTCAGGTGAGCTTTAAATATTTCTCCTTTAAAATTTCTATTTTCAATAACAAACATGTGCCTAACTGTAAGATATTGATATGCACTTTTGACACAAATTCTAACCATAATATCCATTTTTGCTGAATTTCTCTGAAGTTTAGAAAAAATTTTATATTTTCTGAGGTTGAAAAAAATATAATAAATACTTTTTCTTTTGATGAATAATATAATAGTCATATTCAACATTTTAAATTTGGAAGTCCTGAAAATATCATGAAGTTTCTCAAAAGTTTTACACTTGATGTTCCTCAAAAATGTAATGTATTAAATTATTTTTGATTTTTTATGAATTTTCGTGTAAAATATACGATCACCAAAGAAGCAAGGTATCATGAAAACTCATTTTGAAACAGTGACTGTCGTCCTTTTAATTGCTAATTTTCTATTAATATCTATGTTACTTCTACTAAACTAAAACCATAATAATAACTTATTCTAATTTGTGAACAAAACATTGACTAGGGACCTTTTCCCAAAAGCTATGTACTCTAGAAACCATAATTCAGCTAAACTTCAGCCACAGAGTGTAGTGATCTAGATCAATTCCCAGGTCAGTTGGTCAAGCCTTCTACTTGTCATTATAGGTATATTTTACTTCACAATGGTCTCTAAGATTCTATTAGCTATTGGATTGCAAATGGCATAGTCATGGTCCATCAATGTCACTACTGGAACTGAGTTTGACATTGCTTCTTTGATCTTGAATAGGTTTAGTGCCAGCCTCCACTTATGCTGGCATTTCTTCTGGTTTGTACTTTTTTAGGATTTTGATTTGTGGCAGGTATAAATTGACTGTACTATGGTTCGGCATTCTAATTTTATCTCATTGATTGGAAGTTAAGTTTATGAAAAGCTTAGAGAGTAACTAGAATTTAGTTTCTTTCTTGTTTCATTAGCACAATATGCTTTATTTTAACTAATATTAATATGATTTCACTTGGTTCTCTTATGTCAAACTTTTCTATATCATCTGCAATGGATGTTGCTATTTGTTTATGCATGCCGTTATGTTCCTAATTAGATTCTAGTACAAAGTTTTGACAAACACCCATGCAAATGTGGCAGGTCCTTTTTGGATACACAATACACTTTTCACCTTTCCAAACTAAAATTAAAGCTACGGTCTAGTATTATGGTGGCTATTTACCGAAAGGTAAAGTCACATTCTTCATTTTGTTCTTTAAGTTTTTAATTTACGTGGGTTAGTGATTTCTATATTGTCATGCACAAGAAAATTCTGGGTGCATATATAAGGGAAATCCTTTTGGCCTCTCCGTTGTACCTGAGGTGGTTTCGTTTTATCCTGTTGAAAGGTCATTAGAATCTTGAATTTCATCCTTATGGAATATTAGAATTACATCATAGAGATGAAAAAGGAAAACCTAATATTGTGTTATATACAGTGAAGATAGTAATTATCATTTACTTATAAAAAAGATAGTAATTATCATTTAACAGGGTGTTAGTAAGGTTATGGACTGAAATTCTTTACATGATATATTACCCACATATACACACACATGGACAAATACATATATACTTGCACACACAAAGAGTCCTCTCTCCCTCCCTCTCTCCCTCCCTCTTTCTCTCTCTCTCACATATCTATGTATGTATCTATCTATCTATACATAGAGACACATGCACATACACATGGAGACATAAATTTCATGCAAAGAATATTAGACATAGAAGAGGAAAAATTGAGGATGGATGGTCTACCTGACACTACCATCATCTATGCCTACAACCTTGTCAGAGAGGACAGAGGAGGGTTTAATTGGCTTCTGATTCTGAGGTATTGCCATGTGAGAATCATGGAGAAGATGTGGAAGAGAAGGTGGGCTCAATCAAAAATGATTTGGATAGGCTGTTTGGCTCACGGGAGACAATTTTTTTCCAAGAGCAAAGAGTATGACAATGACAAGTGGTGATTCGGGTGGTTATTGATAAATCAAACCAAAACGCAGTGAAATTAGGCATCAAATTAGGAAAAATGTTTTTGGGGGAGGCCAAACTGTGGTGTATGTAGAAAAATCTTTCTATAATGCTAATTAGAGGGCAGTTGATTCTGTGCTTATCATCTGTTGTATTCTTTCATCTTGACATACGCCTAGTGATGCTGTAGTGCTGTACCAACAGTTTTTTTCTACTTTGTTTCCTGGACAGTGCCTTTGCATCAGCCTTGCAGAGCGGTCAAAGTTTTCAGAAGGGGAGATTCAAACATTCATGTCTATAGATGCTGATCGAACTGTTAACCTGGGTAACAGTTTCCATGACATGTGGAGGTTGTGATTTACTTTTATGTGACATTGCATTCTACCTGTTAGTTTTATTTGACTCCTATGTCCTGAATAAATTTCTCTTTGTTTTCCTTTATTTCTCTCTAATTAACTGACAGTCAACTTCAACATGCTTCCTACATTTATAGAATACTGGATTTGAGGAAATACAGATTGCATTCATGTTATCCACAAAGAGAGGCATATAGGATGAGAAAAGATACAGTGAACTCACTCTAGAGTGCCTATAACTAAATAACTTTGCTGAAAGAAAAAGAATTGGTTTGGTTTGTTGTTTCTTGGACTTCGGAAGAAAACCAGTCCAACAATATCTTGATTGCATAACAAGGAAAATAAAGAAGAAAGAAGTAGGAAGAAGCTGTTCAGGGGGAAGAAGTTGAAAGTGGAAGAAAAGAGAAGAGAGCTGAATCGTCTCTCTCTCTCTATTCCTTAATCACTTTATATATGTTGAAACAAATAAAAGGGAAAATTACATGGGCATCCCTAGTTAGGTGGCTGACCCAAGGAACATAAGAAATAAAAGTGCTTAAGGCCCACGAAGGCAGCCCACTACAGCAGAAATAGAGACGGAAAATAACTGAAGAAAACTAAGGTCCACTCGGCCCAATCTCTCTACAACTTCCATGAGACAAGAGACCAAGGAAAATGGACCAATCAATAGTTGAGATGTGACTTACATGGATAAAGGACATATTACCTCACAATGTGTACTGCATAAGCTATAAATCATGTTTGAAACCTGCAAGTGTTAGGAGAAGAAGAAGAAGAGGAAAACTGGAAAGAGTGGACAGCAAAATAGAATGTTTTGGCTGGCCCCAATTCATTCATTAAGTAAATGATGTTAATGTTACATGAAAGGACAAAAATACCCCTATTTAGAACACAACCTATAGTAGAAAACCTTATGTGCTGATTTCGGCCAAGCTTCTTGTGAAAGGAAGAGTAGAAAGTTGGGGATTTCAGCAAGAGACARAGGAAAGGGAAGAAAAGAGAAGAAGGTCGACTAGGATAGATTGACTTACCCCTAGCCGCCAGCCCCTCATTCTATTTATAATTAACTTAA